TTATACTGGAATAGTGGGCGATTTCTACTTTCTCCAAACCTACGTGGCATTTATTGGAATTGAATTCCATTTTCCATGTACAACTCCACGTGAATAAGTTCTCGATGTCACTTTGGAGGCATTGGCATGAGACGTTGTCTGTTATCTATTTTGGATCTTCGCGTCATCTGCAAACATATTCAGATAACTACCTGGGCTTATGTTTGGCTGCAGATCATTGACGAAGATAATAAACATAATCGGCGCCAACACCGATCCTTGAGGCACTCCGCTGGTTACTCGTCGCCATGTAGAGTGATTCCCTCTGATTACTGTGCTCATCTGTCTTTCATGCAGAAAGTCTTTCATCCATGCGAGTGTGTGTGTGTGTGCATGTATATAAATATATATACTTACATATATACATACATACATACATACATACATATATATATATATATATATATATATATATATATATATATATTCTCTTACGTACGATTAGTTATATCCCATTTCTGCGCCCTGCACAGACGAATTGTTTACCTTCATGTAAAAAAAAAAGAAAAAAAAAATATAGAGTATTTGTTTAATTAAGAATACCTTTATGTATATACATGTTCTATATCATACAATTGGACATATTCATCAATATCTATTTCTTCCGGTATGACAGTCGTTATATCGTTGTTAATAAATCCTCATCACCAAGTTTATAAGTTTATATATCAATTCAAATATTTGATTCAAATAATTATTGATATAATTCAAGATTTCACGAATGCATACACTCTCAAAGACCCATTTACCAGCTTCATGGTTTCGGTACGTATATTAAACTAATGAATATATCACGACAAAAAAGAAAAAGAAAGAACGAAGAAACAATATATGTATTTATAAACTGACACCCTTATATATATATATATGAATGGAGAAACACTCTACCGTGTTGATGCTATGGTAGAAAAACCCACAATGCACAAACTTTTTCTTCAATAAAAATAGTTTATGCATTGTTTGTTTTTTCTACCATATATATATGTATATATATATACATACATATATATATATATATATATATATATATATATATATATATATATATATATATATATATATATATATATATATATCTGTATATGCACACACACACATATGTATGTGTATGTGTTCTCTTAGGTTTACATAATGTGATAAAGCTTATGAAAGGTTCACATGCCTTCCGTATACTTATAGCAATGTTCCGATACCAGCTCATGGAGTGCAGAAATGATTAACTTCAGTTCACGAATATCACCAGTTTTGCTTCTAGACATAGCAAACGAAAAAAGAAAAAAAAAAAAACAACTCTGGTAGATTAGTTGGTCCAAACCTAGACCAAATTTATTACAATGCACGAGCCATCTACAGTTCAAAATCCGGCTGAGTTTTCCGGAGCCGCCTGTACATGGAGTAGAAGTGGGAGTCCGCGTACTTCTGCATGTCCCTCCAGAAGACGTCGGACATGGGCTGGCAGTGCGCCTCCGGGATGAGCTCCACCTCCTTCTGCGTCGCCAGCGCTAGGATCTAGAGGTAAGGAATAAGGCTTGAAATCAGCTTCTTTTAAATGTCTAGCTACATTCATATTCTCAAAAATGTCTTATTTCTTATTATCACGACTTTCGCATTAAAAGGGGGATAAGTGTCGAAACGAAAAATGCCAGAAGATGCAACCACACGTTCTTATCATACACAATTCGCAACGTTCGTGTTTTCAAATCATAATAAATGGTTCACATTGTTACCCTAATGGCAATAATGTCAGACTGGAAATATATTGAGGACACGCACGTAGAGGCCGAATAGAGTATAAAAAAGCTCGGGGTGCCAATCCGCATCTTAGGGTCGATGGCATTAAATAGTACGATAAATTAACCGTAAGTACGCAGTAAAATGGAAAGATCTGTAACACTCTAACCGTTGCTATTGGCTATTTCCGACGATAATTAGCTCGTATGGAATATTAAAAATAACATCCCCTACCTCATTATCCCTTGATTATCTAATTAGTGACCAGATATTTAATAGTCCAACCTCCCGTACTCCAGCTATCTCATGTAAATCATTTGAACAAGAAAATTTTGGTAAACGATATTACAAAGCAACGATGTAGTTTGGATATTTGATGGCAACAGCCCAATCCAACCTTGACATTTCTACCCAAAATAAATAAATAAATAATAAATCTGGATTATTATCCTTGATACATGTGTGATTGATAGCACGGCATTCAAGTGTGTGAATTAGCGACCAGTGAACAGCAAGGATTTGCACTCGTTCCCGCCTAACCATGATTAAAGAAAAAGAAAAGAAAAGAGAAGAAAAAATCGAACTCATTCCATGGGCTTTTCTATACTTTACCTGGAGCTCTGCACAGCGTTCCAGGTAATACAGATGGTCGAATGCCATAGCAATGGTCGAGGCAGTTGTGATGACACCGTGATGGCCCATGAACAGGACGTCCTTGTCACCTGAGACG